CTGGCCCTGATTAAGACACTAGACGGTAGTGTCGACAAGTTGGGTCGTGAAATGCAATTTGACTGGGTTTACATTCATTTATTAAAACCAGAGTAGCGAGCGAAAACATGCATGACGGATATTACAACTGGTTGCCGTGAACTCACAATATGGTCAAATTTCTTCAATGATAATCTTCAATATTCTTCTTTTCTTCAATATTAATAATCCAATATACTCGTGCGTATATTTTTTTCAGATTCGTATTCATGTAGCACTGCCGTATAGTATATTTGGTGTGATTTGCCTTCAAGCAGCTGTACTGGGATTATTCTTACCAGAGACCAAGGGTGCGCCAACCTTGGAGACAATGGATGATATGAATACAAGAAATGGAATGGCTTTGCATGTGATTTCCAACGATAAACAAACTCGAGAAGAAACCTAACACAGTAGTACTAGTATAGTAACATTGCTTCATAATAGACCTTGTCGCAGTTTTTCTAAATTTTTATATGGCCAAGCTTCAATCATGGCAAGCTTCAATCATGGCAAAAACTAATGAAACACCTCGGTTGATTTAGTGTTTAAATTTGTCCTTACCTCCCTCCTTACAATGTTGGTTAGCTAAGTTAAAACATGGGACGATGGTGTTCTTTGCAATCGACAAACCTACTCTACTCCGTATTATTCACAATGTAATATCAACATTGTTCGGGGGAAGGGGAGAGGGTTGCATTGTTTCTGAGGGTTGCATTGTTTCTTTTTGCCAGCATTGTTGGTAGAAAAATATTGTAAAATAAGGGTAATATGCAGGTTCGTCTTGCAAAGTTTGCACATTTTAAATACTTTTATATTGCGGGAAAATATTCACTTCGCGATATAAAAACGCAAAGCTGTAGATCGTATTATCCTTATTTTATAATATATTACCACCAAACTTTGCAATTTTATACTTGATTTTTTTAGCTTTTCGGCTTTGTGTTCCATTTTCAGTTCTTTGCTTAAATAAATAAATGAAAAAACCGTGTAAAGGTCTATATTTATTTCGCCGAAAAAGCCGTTCAATGGCGGCAAGCTATTAATAAGTTTTATATAAAACTTTTTTTTTACCTGAGGATACATTTGTTACAAATATCACTGCAAGTGGAATTTATAACAGCTATTTTATTCACTATAAAAATCAGACCTCATTACTATTTTATTCAATACTAGAATCTAAGTGTAGTATTGTTTGTATCAATTTTTTCCCTGATAATCACAGAAAATTGAAAAGTTAAATTTTCTCGGGGGGGGGGGGTGTTTCACTGCTTCCCACCCCCACCCTTCCGGCTGCAAACAGCCCTGTTAGATGTGAGTAGTATGGTCCTACAATTACAACTGTAAATATTTTAATCTGGAATGACCATTTTAGCGCAAATTGCCGATATATCAATGACCTGTTTATGCACGCATATATTATTTTCTGATTTTATTCTAGCTAGTTTAACTAGTGCTTGGCGCCTTGGCGGTCATTCACGTTTTAAAGTTGTCGATTGACCACAACATTTATTGCTATTTGTACATTCATGTACGCGTATCATACCTATTTTTATACATGTATACATACATGTCCAATACTCTCGCAAGCATACCGACGGAAAAGATTATTCACCATCGGTAATATATGTATTTTCGTTTCGTGAACTCCAGCTGAGCATGGATAACTCTCGCAAACATACCGACGGAAAAGATTATTCACCATCGGTAATATATATTTTCGTTTCGTGAACTCCAAGTGAGCATGGATAGGCACGCTCACCAAATGGCCTTACCATCGGTACCGTCGGTACGAACGGAAAATAAGTGATTTACCATCGCTAAATATATTTTCGTTTCGTGAACTCCATGCAGCTGAGCATGGATAGGCACGCTCACCAAATGGCCAAAATCAGTGATTTACCATCGGTAATTTCAACTGATAACTATAGAGTATAGTCCTGTAGATTAAGACTTAAACAAAGTCGCGATATCTTATGACTCATATATATCGCTGTCAAAAATCATATATGGATTTATCGCTTCCCTGCATATATTAAACCACCATCGGCAAACTGTTTGTCAGGTTGAGCTCGGTTTTCTGTGCTGCCGAATACTACAAGACCAGTCAAAGCCTTTATGGCATAATTATGGCTTATGTGCCCGGTTGTTAGCACATAGCCGCTTTATTGTTTTAATCAATTTTTAAAAATTAACAAGAAAAATTATTAATTAATAACTATATAACATTTAGCACAGAAAAGGTGGGGGCATTACTAACGCCACAAGTCTCCTTGGGATAAAGGAGACACACCCCACCCCAACATGACAAACCGTTTGCAGATGATCGTGAAAAGTATCTACATATACTGATTATTATTATTATTGATGTTTATTAAAACTCTCTTGCAGTTATACAACTGAATTAACGAGCTTACTAGTAAAATTCACTTCAAACACTCATTAATAATTCATAAGCTTATTAACAAATCATGTCAACCATAATATGTCACGTGCAATGGCTTTAAACCTGATAAAACACTCCTAATTAGTATTCTTTATATAAAGAATACTAATAAGGCTGTATCTATTGTAGTCGTGTCCTCATTAGTATTTTTTATATAAAGAATACTAATAAGGCAGTATATCTATTGAATTTGTAGTCGTGTTTGAAGCCGTTTAATAAACTTGCAGGTCGTGTTTTATTAGGTCTAAAGTCACTCGCGCTGCGCGCTCGTGTCTTTAAACCTAATAAATCACTCCTGCTCGTTCATTAAACAATACATAATATTTCTAAGGTAATGTTCATATTAAGATGTTCAAATTTAGACTATTATTATTGCTGCCGAGCGAAGCGATGGCAGCCACCTATTCTTGACAACGTTTACAGTTTTTACTCGTGCCAGATCCCCGCGCGACTTATGTATTTTAGCCAAAGCATAACAGGTGGGCAATTTGTCGACGCTGACCAAAAATAGCGGCTCATTTCTTCTTGAGTTGCCATTTTCGCGTCGAAGAGCAAAAATACAGACTTTCGGAGAATATTTTAGCTGTTTCCTATCAAATATGTTTGTGAAACAGTTGATAATCTCACTGAGGAAGGCCAACGGTTTCTGAAAAGCTAAAGTACGTCGAAATCAGCGTTGGAATAGACTATATTTTCACCAGGGAAACATGAACTAAATGGATATTTACATCAACACTAAATTTCACTCGTGCCTACAGAACTAGATGGATTAAAACAGATGTTAAGAAGTAAGTGGAAATGTGAATTATGTGAATTATACTTTCATTAAAATGTTTCAGAAGGGCTGCTAATGTCAAACTACACGTGTGACAGAGCTGTCAGTATACCCATATTTCAATGTTTATGTTGAAATGGCCCATCTGGTCCATACACAATAGTATGGATTCTATGAAGTCCCGAATGTGGCTTATTTCAATGTTTAATCTGTTTACCTGGAAAAACATAGAAAATTGAATAAGTCAAGAATTTGACTATGCTCATCACCCAAAACCTGGTTTTTCTAATTGGTTTTTCACCTGTGTTTGTGGCAATACCAGTTATGCGACCATGAAAAATGCGTGCGGCACTTTTTTGGACACTGAAGATGACAACATTTGATGTTGTTATCTATTGCCATCCTCTTATCATAGTATAACTTAACTTATTTTAGTGAGTTTGTTAAAGA